CTAAACCAAGGGTGGAAAACCTGTGGCCTTGAGGCCATGTGTGACCCTCTAGGTCCTTAAGTGTGGCCCTTTGACAGTTTGGATTCAGTCAAAGGGATGCACTTGAGGACCTAGAGGGCCATGTGTGGCCTTGAGGCCCCAGGTTTCCCCACCCCTGGTCTACACTCTCCTCCATGTGGCAGCTTTTAATGCTTAAAGACATCTATCATGTGCCCCCAAGCATCTGCTCTCCTGCTCTACATTATCGTTAAAATGCACAGATGTGACCTGGGAATTGGGGGAGATCCCGGAAGAACCTCATCCCGTTACGCACATTAGCATGATGAGTTTATCAGAATAACTATCTCACTGTAGAAGGCATGGAGAGCTTGGCCCTGAGGAGGGGAGGCATTGAACAGGAGGAAGAAGGAGCATGTTACACATGCAGCTTTAACATTCTGAGGATAAGATGGTGAACTTAAAGAACCCCAAAGAGTCAACTAAAAATGAACTGAAACAGTAACTCCAGCAAACTTGCAGGATATACAAGAAATCCACAGAAATTATCAGTATTTCTACTACCAATAAAACCCAGGAAGAAGAGATAGAAAAAGAAATTTCACTTAAAACAATTACAAAATATATAAAATACTTGAGAGTCTACCTGCCAAGATACACACAAGAACTATATAATAAAACTATAAATCACTATTTACACAAATATAGACATAAAAATCCAAAAAATATTAATTGCATGTGGATAGGATGATAAAAATGACAATAATGCCTAAATTAACTTACCTATCAAACTATCAAAGGATTACTTTGTAGAAGTAGAAAAAAATTATAATTAAGTTCATATGGAGGCGAAAAAGGTCAAACATCTTAAGTGAAATAATGGAAAAAAGTGGGAGGCAAAGGGGGCCTAAGAATGCCATATCTCAAATTATACTACAAAGTAGTTATTTTCAAAACAATTTGGTAGTGGTTAAAAAATAGATCAAGGCATCTAAGTGGTACAATGGATAAAGTGCCGGCCCTAGAATCAGGAAGACTCATCTTCCTGATTTCAAATTTGGCCTCAGACACTTACTAGCTATGTGGCCCTGAGTAAGTAACTTACCCTTGTTTGCCTCAGTTTCCTCATCTGTAAAATGAGCTGGACAAAGAAATGCCAAACCACTCCAGTATCTTAGCCAAGAAAACCCCAAATGGGGTCACAAAGAGTCAGACATGACTAAAATGATTAACAATAACAAAATAGACCAATCAGTCAGACAGATTAAGTATTAGACATACAGAAGCAAATGCTTCTAGTACTTTAGAACTAGGTAAATACAAAGAGCCTAGCTACCGGAGTAAGGACTCACTATTAGATAAGAATTGCTGTAAAAACTGGACAGCAGTATGGAAGAAATTAGACTCAGAACAACACCTCACATCTTATGTCAAGATGGACTCCAAATGGATACATGACCTAGCTACAAAGGGTCATATCATAAGCAAATTAGAGAAACATGGGAGGAAATCACCTATTACATATCTATGAATACAAGAAAAGTGCATGACCAAATAACATAGATAATTTTGGATACATAAAATTTTAAGTTTTGCAAAAATATACAATAAACCTAAAATTAAAGGGAAAATAATTAACTGGGGAAAAATATTTGTAGCAATTGTCTCCAATAAAAATTTCATTTCTAAGACATATAAGGAAATGATTCAAATTTATGAGATTAAGAGCTATTCCCAATTGATAAATGGTCTAAAGACTTGAACAGGCAGTCTTGAAGGAATGAAATCCAGGCCATCTATAGCCATATAAAAATGCTCCAAATCACAACTAATTCTATCTCACATTCTTTGCCATCTGGCAAAGAAAACAAAAAAGGAAAAATGATAAATGTTTGAGAAATTATGGGAAAACAGGTACATAGATACACTGTAGGCAGAACTATGAATGAGCACAACCATGGTGGAAAGCAATTTGAATTATGTAGAAAATTACTGAACAGTATTTGCCCTTTGACCCAGTTATCCCCCTGCTATACCTATACTTCATACCCTTCAAAAGATTAAGAAAAAAATAGGGAAATTTTTATATACTAAAGGGATAACCACAAATTGAAGAATGGTTGAATAAGTTGTGGTATATGAATGTAATAGAATTACTATGGTGTTTAAGAAATGAGAAAATTTCAGAGACATGGAAGAACTTGTATGAACTGATTGAGAGTGAAGTGAGCAGAACCAAAAAGATGTATACTAATAGCATCAATATTATAAAAATGGAAAATTTGCAAGACTTATATAAACTGATGAAGAATGAAATGTGCAGAACCAGAAACATGTCAATCCTATAGTGCCAACAACACTATAAAGACATAATAATGATAAAAGCTGTAAGAACAATGACCATCCATGATTACAGCAGACCTATGATGATGAACCATATGATTCATCTCTTGAGGAAGAGGTGATGGATTTAAGGTGCAGAATGAGACATAGGTGTGTGTCTTTTGCTTGTAGACCACGAAGGAATTTGTTTTGCTTAACCATGCATATTTGTTACAAGGAATTTGTTTTTCTTTTCTCTTTTTTTTCCAGTGAGGTGGGGTAGGAGAGAGAGAATGGATTTCTGTTAATTTTTAGGATAATGTAAAAAATAGAGAGGTGCTACAGATATCCAATGTTGCATACATCTTCAAATGAGGTTCCTATATGGCTAATTTTGCTTAATTATTTTACTTTGTTACAAGAGACTTCTCATAGCGTGGAGGCAATCTGCAAATATTTGTAATGTAAAAATAAAACACATCAATAAAACTTTTTTTAAGTTAGCTGAGGAGAGGAATTCCCAAACGGGGTCAATAGAAGGAGACAAGGCCCAGTAGGAGCTCTGTACTTTAGGGCAGGGAAATTAGAGCTCTAGGTCTGAGGGTACTGGAGGCATCAATGCCCAGAGACAGACTCATTCTTTGTGACTTTTGTTTTTACAAAAAGAACTGCAGGTTTATATTTAAAGAGCCCCATATGCCTAAGAGATGCCTCATATGTCTATAGACCCTACCTCAGGCCATGTCTTTACCTTTTACCTTAAGCAAAAGGCCTCATTTTAAATTATGGATTTAATGTAAAAATAGCAATAGAAATTTAGCATAGTTTTGATTCATTCTTCTATGACTCCCAGCAGGTCACTCGACCTCTAAATGCATTTGCTACATTGGATAAATGAGGGAAAACATTGCTTCCAAAAAATGGGAAAATATCAAATAAACTAAATAAAATTCCTTTTAATGCAGAGTTTTTAACCTTTTTTTGCATCAAGGACCCCTTCTCAAAATAATGGTTCTGAATGCATAAAATAAAATACACAAAATAAAAAAGGAAAGCAATTATGTCAAAATACAGTTATCAAAAAAAAAAGCTCCTAGAACCCAGGTTAAGAAATCTTGTTTTAATGGCTAGGGCTTCTCATACAGTCAAACTTCTAGTGAAGTGAACCCAACTAATGGAATAATGAATTAAAAGTTATTTCTGGGCTCTCTGCTTTCAGGAGAAACAAACCAATTCCACAAGGTGATGTTAGTTGTTTAAAGCAAAAAACAATTACCTGATTGTGGCCTGGGACCAGACATTGGTTTGGTCCAGTGTCCTTCACCTTCTACAGCTACAGAAGGCAACTCCTTCTGTTTTACAGTCGTAAAACAATTCAGTTTTGTCAATGGAAATGGCATTAAAGGAGAGGCATTACTCTCCTCTTCACCACTGTACCCTAATGACCTCTCCATTTGAGGTGCAGTTCTCATCTTCCACTTGTGTGGTTTCTGCCATAAGCATGTAGCTTCTTGAAGGACTGTCTTGCCTTTCTTTTTGCATTCCCAACACTTAGCAAAATGCTCTGCACATAGTAAGTGCTTAATCAATACTTCCTTCCTTCATTCCTCTCCACTACCATATTAAATTTAATATAGATTTTTTTAAAAATAAGCTATATGTAATAGATGCAAAATTTTGTATGGAACCTCCATTTTCTGGCCTTCTCTATACATGGGAATGTTCACTTTGATTGATTTTCTAGTTCATAATAAAAAAAATAATTCAAAATGATTACAGAGCATTCAATTATTTTTGTGGTTCTTTCCACCTACATTTTTGTGGGCATTGTGTATATTGTTTTCCCTCGTTCTGCTTAGATCCTTTCACATTGGTTCACCTAAGTCCTCCCAGAGATCATGTGTTACAGATAAGGAAACTGAGACCCCAAAGATTATGACTTGCTGATCTAGTCCGTAGAGCCTTTGATCTACTAATGATATCTCCTACCTACCCTGGTAGTCCAGCAGGAGCAATAGAAGGGAGACTATGGTGCCTGAGGCAAGAACACAGACAGTGTGAGAGCACCATGAGGAGAACCCAGGTTTCCCTGCTTCTGGTCCTCTTCCCTCCCCATTCCACTAGAATGAAGACTCGTGATTGATGACAAGATGCTTAAACACAACTTTCCCATCATCTTTTCCAGACTAGACTGGCTGGAGAGGAAGGGTAAATTGGGACATTTGGCAACTTGACATCAAGAGTTGCCGTGTGACCTTCGGGAGAGACGATGGAGCAATGATAGTCCAGGAATGGAGAGGAGTGCCAGGGAAACCACCTGTGTCCTGTCTGTGCTCCCTTTTGTGCTCTTTCCTGTCTCTTTTAGATATTTCAGATATGTACACAAAGCCTGACTAACAAATGTAATTCCTCCCACACGATTAAACAATTACATTCAACGACATGTATTAAGCCTCTGTGTTGCGCTACGCCCTGGATGATGGAAAAGATGTGCCTAATGTTTCATATGGAGGAAAGGTAAAAGAGAAAGGGACTACTTAACTTTTGTGTTCAGGGCAGTCCCTGGCTTCTCAGCTAACTGACAAATCCCATAACCAAAGTACTCCCACCTTTCTGCACCCTCTGCAATTCCTTCTGCAGCACATTCCAGTTAATAGAGGTTTTTTCGGAGGAACACTTACCTCAAGCAAAGAATCCTGGAGCTTCATATTCAGGGCTGCTTTCTCTTCTTCCAGTCGTTTCATTTCATTCTCAGATTTCTTCTTCATTTCCTCTAACTGTTTCTGAACCTCCTAAATAGGATTGAAATAATTCAGGCCAGAAGGTATAAAAACATGGCCCAACAGACATGAGCTAAAGAGGATGAAAAAGGTGACAGGAAGCCTGCTCTGTTGCAGCACCACGAGGGACAGATGCATAGACGATGGCACAGGGATACGCGATCCTGGATCGAGAATGAAAGGGACCGACCCTAAAAGTCATTTAATACAACTCTCCCATTTTACAGACTCAAAAACTGAGGCTCAGAGTGGTGAACTAACTTCCTCAAGGTGACACTGGCAGTAAGTGCCAGAGAACTCAAACTCAGGTCCTGTGACTCCAAGTCAATATTCCAATTCAATGCTCTTTCCACTGCACCTTGTTGCCTTCTAAGAAGGGAAGGGACCCAGGGCCAAGTGGGAGAATCAGGTGACAGGCTGAATGCTGAAGCCAGTCTTGTGTCAAAGTAAAACCTGCTGGGAGCATAAAAATAGGAGGTGCTAGGAGTGTGGGCAGTGTGGCTGATGTCCCGTGGGATTGTGACGACACCACGCAGAACAGATGACCTGTGTGGTGTCTGGAGAGCCCACAGCACTGAGTGCATGGATGTTATGAGCTCAAGTGTCTCATGCTCCAATGCGTCAACCTTTTCCATCCGGCCTGTGGGGGCCATCAGACAAGGTGCCCGATTCTCCATGGCCAACACAAAGCTAAGACTCATGGTTCTAGATTGCTGCGATGATTTCTGAAACACCCAGCTGGAGGAGGGTTTGTTGCCTTGAATGGGCACTGACTCTGGACAATTTGGATAAATTCAATTCACTCCAATTTAATAAGCATTTAGGTGAGCACCAACTATGTCACTGTGCTTAGTGTTGGGGATACGCAAAGACAAAAATGGAAGAATCCCTGCCTTCAATAAATTTACATTCTACTGCAGGTTACAACTCGAAAACAGAAAAGGAAATACAAGATAACTTGAGGAGAGAGAGAGAGAACCTGCCCCCGAAACACACTTCCTCCTTACCTCTACCTAACAGAAGCCCACCTTCCTCCAAGACAAAAAGTTCAATCTTCCTGACCACCTTCTAGGGGAAGCTTTTCCTGATCCTTTCCCCAAGCCCCCCTGCTCATGCCGTCCCTCCCAAACTAGCTTGTACTGAACTGTTCTGTATTTATTCTCTTTATATTTGTTTTATGAGGGGTAGCATTGTACAATGAATCTCACAGAACCAGCCTTGAAACCACCAAGGCCCTGGGTTAGAATCCTGTCTCTGGCACATACTGGCTGTATGACCCTGGGCAAATTACTTAACCTCTGAGTGTCCTGGGAAGCTCTCTAAGACCATGAATTCCATAGCTCACCTAAGAGTTCCCGATACCAGTGAAATCACATGCTTAACGTCTAGTTCTACCTTATATACACACACACATGCACACA